GTAGTTATGCAATTGCCTCCAAGATGTTGGCTGTTTCAGACAAACTTTAAAGTTGGTATCTCTTTTCCCCTCTTTACTGGGTGGGTGGAATCTATATTTATGTGTCAGTGGTTGGGGCTTGGTGATATTTCTCCTAAACAGACTCTGGTTTTTATCTTTTGAAACTTTTAAAGAATTGAGCTTTAAAAAAGTAAGACTCTAAGAGTGGAAGTGGGTTCCCTTTCAGCTAACAGGTTAGCTGCAGCATAGCTTCACAGTAGACTCTGGAGCCAGAGGACCCGGCTCTACCACTTGTGTGACTTTGGGTAAGTTACCTAACCTCTATTTTTATTTAAAAAATTTTTATTGTTGTTTAATTACAGTTATCTCCATTCCCCACACATTACTCTGCCCCACCCTGTGCACTTGTCACACCCCCCCCCCCCCGCTCCGCTGCAGCTTTCCTTGTCCATGGGCTCTTTAAACGTGTTCCTGGACAACCCTTCCCCTTCTTTCCCCATGATCACCCTCCCCCCTCCCCCTGTGAGTTTGTCCTTTATTTCCACGTCTCTGGTTCTATTTTGCTCGCTTGTTTGTTCTGTTGCTTAGGTTCCACTTACAGGTGCGATCATATGGTATTTGTCTTTCACTGCCTGGCTTATTTCACTTAGCATAATACTCTCTGGTTCCATCCATGCTGTCATGAAGGGTAGGAGCTCCTTGTTTCTTTCTGCTGCATAGTATTCCATTGTGTAAATGTACCATAGTTTTTTGATCCACTCATTTACTGATGGGCACTTAGGCTGTTTCCCACACTTGGCTATTATAAATAGTGCTGCTATGAACAGTGGGATGCACAGGTTCTTTTGAATTGGTGTTTCAGTATTCTTAGGGTATAGACCCAGCAGTGGAATTGCTGGCTCAAAAGGCAGTTTTATTTTTAACTTTTTAGGGAAATTCCATACTGTTTTCCACAGTGGTTGTACCAGTCTGAATTCCCACCAATAGGGCATTAGGGTCCCCTTTTCCCCACAACCTCTCCAACACTTGTTGTTTGTTGATTTGTTTATGATGGCCATTCTGACTGGTGTAAAGTGGTATCTCATTGTGGTTTTAATTTGCATCTCTCTGATGGCTAGCGATAGACCCTCTGTCTGTCCCCCTTGGAGAAGTGTCTATTCAAGTCATCCTTCTGTTTATTTTTTTAAAGATTTTTATTTATTTATTTTTAGAGAGAGAGAAGGGAAGGGAGTAAGAGAGGGAGAGAAATGTGTGTGTGAGAGATAGCTGCCTCTCGCTCACAACATAGGCATGTGCTCTGACTGGGAATCCAACCTTTGAGCTTTTGGTTTCAGACTGGCCGGAAGCCTAACTAAGCCACACTAGTTAGGCTTTGCCCATTTTTAAAATTGGTACTTAACTTTGTACATCATTTTCTAATCTGTAAAACTGAAACTGAGGGTCCTTATTGACTTTGATTAAATTTAGCTTTTAGTCCAGGCCTTAGAAATCACCTCTGTGTGTGTGTGTGTGTGTGTGTGTGTGTGTGTGTCCCTCAGAGACCTGGACTTCACCCTTCCCTCTGTAATCAGCAACCCCTGAGGCAACAGAAGACAATAGCCCAGGCCTGATTAATGGTCACCAGGTGTGGTCCCCTGGCAGGCTACAGATGACATCTTGACCTAAGTAATGTTTCAGCTCCTGACCTCTAAGGTAGACCAAGCTCCTGGCTACTCTCCTATGAGATCAGATGCCAGAGCAGACTTCAGAACTGTCCTAAAATCTGAAGAAATGATTTATTACCCGTACCTCACCTCTGACCCAGCATGATCCTGAACCCCCTAATCCATGTCGACTTGTGATTTTGCCCTATATATCCTGTAACTTACACATCACTGGAGAGTTGTATTTAGGGCATAAGCTCCTGTCTATGGATCGGCCAATTCAATATTAAACTTTTTTTCTTTCTATACTGTGAACTCCTGCTTCTGCATTTGTTTGGGTCAGTGCAAGCAGGCAGAGGGACTCTAACATGGGGGTCCTGGTAACAAAATGAGGACAATAGAATTGTTACACGAATTTAATGAGTTAGAATTTGTAAAGAGCAAAGTATGTGTGAAGTATCATCTGAGGACTTGTTCAAAAGAAAAACAATGAAATGATTTTCTGGTGATACGGTCTTTTAAAAACTTGAGGGGTTTGCCTCTGTAAGGAACATAAACAAGTTATTATGAATTTGTTCAGCTGTGTGCTAATGAGCAGAATCGGGAGGCCTGCCAGCAAACCCGAGTCATCGTACAGGAGCAGGTCCGTACCTACAGGAGGGATGGACCTCTCTCCTGTCAAATGTGTTTACACAAGTGAGATTAAGTGCACCCTCTACTTACTACACCACCCCCCAGCCAAGCTTAGAATTCTTTTTGAAATAATTTGGAACAAATGACCACCTTGGACCAAAGGAAGCTTGCATCTCACAGTAATAAATAATGTAACTTACACGTAGTCCCACTTTGTAAGAAGCCAAGAGAAAGGACAGGATTCATCCCCGTGGAAATGAATTAATAAAAGGCAGGAGGACCCTGTTTCTAAAGCTCTGCTGGAGAATCAAAAATTTAAGTTTATTTTAAGCTTTTGTTCTATGCTTCAGGTACTTGGATCTCTACAAATAATCTAATTATTAGTGTAAAGATATTTTTAAAAGAGAAAATGCCTCTGTAGACATTGTTAGTTTTGTAAAAACTGACAAATTCTCATTTTTTTCATATCATTTACAGAAACTAATTAAATAGCCCTGAATTTTTTAAATGTTTTTAAAAAAATCTAAGTCAGCCAACCAGTTCCCCCTCCCCCATCCTCGAATCTTTCATGTTGCCGATATGTAAAGATTTTGTAGTATGGCCTGGTGGTGAAAGACTTGGGCTCAGAGCTGGATGGGTATGGGTTTGAACCTTGGCCCTCCCACTTATTAGTGATACCCCCTCGGCTTGTTTTGAGTCCTCAGCACAGGTGTAGGTCTGTGTGTAGCCTTATGAGGCTGTGAGAAGTGAACCTGTTCATGGGTATGGAGCATTTAGGACTCTGCCTGGCACAGAGTAATTAATTGTCCAATAGATGCTGACGGTCACACTGGGAGAAGCTGGCTCCATGGTGGACAGTCATTTCATCATTCTTTAAAGACCAGATGCCGCTAAGTTATCTAGGACTTGGTTTTCTCTTTGCTTCTCCTATGCCATTTTATTTAGAAATTAGAAAGCCTACGTAACATGATTGATACATTTAAATGCAGAATTAAATAGTCACGCCCAGTTCAAGTGTTCATGTCTGCACTTGAAACTGAAACAACAATTTGAGGCATGAATACTATGTAATTTGAGTTTATGAGAAATTCAACACCTTAAATCTCGAGAGAGTATTATCAGAAAGATGGGGCTAACTCTACCTAGACGTTGGCTCCTTCGGGGTGTCATGCCTTTGTGTATTCTCCAAGGCCTAGCTCAAACCTCTCACAGTAGATGCTCAACAAGCATGGGTTAGGAATGAATGGTTCACCAAGGAGGCTTTTGCAGGAAATACAGGTGATCAGTGACAATTTGATCTTCGTGAAAATTTCTCCAGTTGGGTGAGTAGGGGCAAAGTAAAAAGGATGAGATATACTTCCTCTTCTCTCAAAGTCCTAAAACTTTCCAAATAATAATATAAGCAATAATATAAGATACCCCCCCCTCCCGTTCCATTTGCCAACATATCAAAGGCTTAGGCCATACTACTTGAAAACTGAAAGAGATCTCCTAGGCCAACCTCCTCATTTTACACGGAAGAAAGGACACTTGGAGAGTTTAAGTCCTTTCTCCAAGGTTACACAGGTAGTCCAAGGGTGGTCAGAACAGGAAGTTGGGTCTCTGAAACCTGTCAGAGACAGTGGTCATTTAACCAGCCTTTTGGTAAAAATGTTCTGTAATTTAAGTGTATCTTTTAAGAGAAAAAAAATGGAGGGTAAACGAGAGTATCAAAGTGGTGTTCTGATTACTTCACACATTGACCCTTGCTGGCACAGGTCCTCCAGAAGATGCAGTGCTGCCAACAGGTTGGTTTACATCGCTCCGACCTTAGGATGGCATCAGTTACGCGGACGTAGCTTCTTTATTCGTAGCAATTTATATAGCAAGTACACGACGGGTTGGGTAATGCACTTTCAGCTGTTAGGAGGAGGCAAGCCGGTTGGCGGTTACCATCAGAGCACATCTTGAGATAACTAACAAGCAGGACTGGAGGTGGGAAAAGCAAATAAGGACAGAATGAATATGTGCAAGGGGTTTGTGCTAGGAAATGGGCAGGAAGGTGTGATCAAATTACTGCAGGTTTTAGAAATTTTATATCAAGACGGAGGTAACCAAATAAAAATCCAACTCCTCCAGGGAGCCCTGGAAAGTTTGAAGGACCTGTTTTGAGCAAGCGATTCTTTGCAGCTCGCATCCCCATACTTGTGCCTCTCCCACCCCAACCTTCCCAGAGGACCGGGACCCCCTCCCGCTGCCCTAACCCGGGTGCACAGCAGTCCGGCAGTTCCCGGAGTTTCTTCTTTTCCTCTCTTGATGGTCCAAAGGGAAACGCAAGCTCCAGCAGCGCTCCGGGCTCATCCATCAGTACCGGAGGAAAAGGGGGAGGAGAGAGGAGGCGGGAGGCAGTAGGAGGAGTTTCTCGTGGCTGGGAGCCCTCAGTGGGGCCGGCGGAGGAGGAGCGCCCTTCCCCCCGCGCGCTGATTGCTGTGGCGTCCTGCCCGTCCCCGCCCGCGTGTGTGTGAGGGCTAGCTAGTGCGCTGGGTCGGCCCGATGGGGGTAATCGAGGTTTTCGGGGACGCCGAGCGGCGCTTTCCTCTTCCCAGTGAGTGAGGGAGGCAAGTCGGTGGCTGTCGTGCCCGGCCACTTTCCCCGTGTGATTCCCGGAGCGCTTTGCAGGAGGCGAAAGTCTCCGGCGGGTCCCGATGGCGTAGTTGAGCCGCTGCGCAGCAGCTGCTGGAGCTCGCGGCCCGCGAACGTTGGGCGGGGAAACTTTCCTCTGCTTTCCTCCCAACTTGCTGCGGGTGGATCTCCGCTTGACACACTGCCTCCGAGGTACGTGCCTGCCCGGCCCCCATGGTGCTGCAGCCCACGCCGGGAGTCCCCTGGGCGCACCGCTAGCCCAGGAGCTCCCATCCCGGCCGACAGTGGTTTCTGCAGGCTGCGCAGAACCTTGGGCGCTGCGCGGGGTTCCATGCCTGCTTCATGGCCAGGGTCGCTCCGGCTGCTCGGACCCCGAGGCTTGGAGGGGTGGCATGGGTTAGGCGCCCAGGAGCCAAGGACCCGTGGTCGGCGGTTGCTGGGGAGTGGCTACCCAGCTGGGCAGCCTGCTACTCTGAGCTGGGGCAGACTTCTCCACGCCTGCCCTCACTCTTAGCCACAGGGCACGCCGGCCACTTCCCACTGAGCGCGTGACAGCGTTGGTGGGAAGTTTGTTGTGGGTTTGCACTCAGTTGCCCTTTGCAGAGGCTGCAGCCGTGGGACTCGCGCACAGACGGGAGCTGCGCTCCCCGTGGGCCGCACTCTCAGTGCTCGCTGTGTGGGCGTTCGTGGAGCCCTGCAGCCGGGTGTCCCCGCGAAGAACGCCCCATTCCCCCCGTAACTTATTAGCCACCTTACCCTGTTTAATTTGAAGGCTTCTCTAGTTCAGTTGGTTAGAACAAGCTTGGGAATTTGGGATTGTTGCTGGGGCAATCTATCAGCTTGCAGTCTTGTCCTTACTCTGGAGCACTGGCCCCACTTTCCATAATCACGTAGTGTAAAAAACCGGCTTGTCAAACATGCATTGCCTTGACAGAGTAGAACTTAAGAGACTTAGGGTCTTAAAAAAAAAAAAGCCAAGAGGAGAAAAATCACTCTGTTTCTTTAGCTGTGAAACGGGAATTATAACAGTACTGGCCTCGTAGGGTTGCTGTGTTGGTGCTGGTTGTCCGGAGCCCCGAGGTGACGGAAGAGCGAGAGAGGGTGGGGGTGGCCGGAGTGACAGACTGAGGTGAGGAGCCGGGCGTGTTCTGAACTCCATCTCCCAGAGAAATAAGCGAATTGTTGGGGCGGACGGTAGTCTCTGCGGGTAGCAAAGCACATGTCAAAACCTTTTAATTTTTCTGAAATGGTACGTTATCCTGCAGTTATTTCAGTGTGAAGTTAGCACTTTTTTTTTTTTTGCGTAATAATGATAGCTTACGTTTACTGAGCCCAAACTCTGTACCAGACACTCTCTTAAATGACTTTCCGACACAGTTGCATTTAATCCTCACACCAGTTCTATGGTAAACAAAGTAGTAGCCCATTTTACAGTTAAGATACTAGAGGTTAGTTACTTGCCCGACCTCCTACACAACTTTCTCTTAGTTCTGAGTCCAGAGTTAGCTTAGTCACTTAGAGAGCAGCAAGTGCAGTCAGACTAGTGTGCAGTGTGTCCAGGAGTCTTCTCCCACTGTTCAATTTCCCATCCGAGTTGGACACACATCCCTTGAAACACAAATAAGGTATGTGCGATTAGTTGAGGTGATAATCACCGCTCCTTTGAAACTGGTTCCAAGAAATTATATATAGAACTCTGATTTGTGTTAATGAATATGGATCTTTACTCTTAATTTCTTTTATTAATTCTCCAGACATTGTTGGTCAGTGTTACTTGTCTTCCTTAGGAAACAGCTTGGGGTTGGCACAAGAGGCAGGGAAATAATTCTTACCCCCTTAAGGGCTATTAAAATGAGATTGATTTCATGCCATTGTGTCAGTTAAAGGATGTTGCTCTGTTTCTTGGTGTTCTCTGCTTTTGGCTTTGGTTCTGCATTGTTTAGTGTTTCAAGGTTTCAGCATTTTTTTTTTTTTTTTTGCCCTTCAGTTTTGTCTTTTTCATTTGTCAACTTTAATTTTTCCTGTTTTGATGGAATCTGACCATTACATGGCAGCCTTGCTTAACAACTGTTGCTCCAGCTCATGTTTTTAAATATAAAAGTCACCAAGTTACTTTTGAACCCCAGCACTTCAAAGGCAACCCCTGGGGAATTCATTGTTATTTTGAATATTAGCCAACAGGGGGAGCATAGCACACTATTGATGTCTATTAGGCTTGTAAACCAGTTTTTAGGGCATTAAGCACACATTTCAGAAATGGAAAATGTTTTGAATTTATCAGCAAAATAACCAAGTTGATTTCTGAGTTTACAGTGGAGAGCTGGGTTTAATTTCAACTGATGACAATGAGAATGACCTTGAGGACAAGGCTCACATGTTGGATATGTGTCAACTCTGTGGTGGCTGGACAGATACTAAATACACATGTAGTTTTTTTCCTTAAGAGGTGACTGTAAAGTAGTTGTGTGTATTTTTAATAATATTTAAAATTATTTAGGAGAACAGGGAGTCCAGGAAATCTTTGAATCATCGTGAATCTTTTTGTAATGATCCTCATTTGTCTTTTGTAAACAACTGCATGTAGTGAATTTGTTCTCAGGAGGTTGGTGCACACGAAACCCTATCACTTTATTTTTCATTAACAACTTCCAAGTTCAAGACAAGAAGGGATTATTGTCCCGAATAACAACATTTCTCTCAACTGTGCATTGTTCAGAAGCTAATGTGTTAGTGTGGTAATAGTTCTGAAACATCAGATTTGTCTACAGACACACCATACCTGTAAATATACTATAAATGATCTTGAAGAATTAACGTGTTTGGAAAAAACAGTCATACTGACTTTTTAAAGAGGTTTTGGATCTCTGCAGTTTTATAGGCCGGTTTCCCTTCTTGTTTCCTGTGCATCAGGTACTATTGACTTAACTTTATTTCATTTACCAAGTTAGGGTCAAAAGGATCTTATTTTAAAATACCATAACTTTCAAATTTTAGTTACTCCCTTTTAAATCTCAACATTCCACTGAGACTTTAGAGTAGCATTTTATTTAGCATCTAACTTAGTCTTCCACGCTCTCATCCATGCCACTCCTTCAGCAGACGTTTATCCAGCCCCAACTCCCTCACAGGCTTCTGGCTCCTGGTCTTAGAGTTTGGCGAATTAATTGTCCTGTAACAATCCTCTGGCGGCAGGCGATCAAGATACTTAAGGCTTCCTGGGGCTTTGTGGTAGAAACCCTTTATAGATTGATGAAATTGGTTTGTGTAAAGGGAGGTATTGTCCCATTCTTTTTTAAGTCTCAAAGGAATTAATCTTTGGCTTTTGCATGCAAACTTGGTCGGACCTTGTAAAAATCAAGTGATCTTTTCTGAAGACAGAATCTGGGTCTAAGTGCCCCAAGGCCGAAGGACTCTATGTCCTTTGAGTAGCCCTAAGAAGGTGATCACTACTGACTTCTTTAGTGCCTAACTGATGACCAATTTCCTGGCATCATAAATCTGTAGAAAGTTCTGACTTTATATTTCAAGGTTAACAGACAGAACGGTCAGAATTTAGATGATGACCGGTAAGTATTAACATTGCTGTAATATCTTTCTGATGAATTAGCTCTGTGGTCATTTTGGATTACCCTTGTTCTTGATAATCCATTTTAAAAATGTCTCTCCACCCCCTCTTCTTTCATTGCTATTGGGCAAACACTGATTATGATTGTCAGGTTCATTATTTAATGAGGACAGTCTTCATTTTTTTCCCCTCTTAATTTATTTTAAAAGTGATGCTATTGCTGTTTCAATCTGTCCATTGAAGCATTTTCCTTGTATTTTAAAACTTCTTTGGAACTTTTAAAACTTAAAAAGTCTTAACTACTTAAAAATTTTTCTTAATTGATTTTATAAAAAGAGGAAGAGGGGAGAGAGAGAGAGAGAGAGAGAGAGAGAGGGAGAGATGGAAGAAAGAGATAGAAATGTCTATTTTGTTGTTCTCCTTAGTTGTGTGTTCATTGGTTGCTTCTGGTGTGTGCTCTGCAAGGAGAGCAGACCCTCAACCTTGGCATATAGGGACCAATGCTCCAACCAATGGAGCTATCACACCAGGGCTAAAAAAGGTTAACTACTTTTTGAAATTTGCATACCTCGAAATAGATAAAATTTTTTTTTAGATTTTATTTATTTATTTTTAGAGAGAGGGGGAGGGGGAGAGAAAGAGAGGAAGAGAAACATCAATGTGTGGTTGCCTCTCACATGGCCCCCACTGGGGGCCTCATCCACAACCCAGGCGTGTGCCCTGACTGGGAATCAAACCAGTGACCCTTTTGGTTTGCAGCCCCATTCTCAATCCACTGAGGTACACCAGCCAGGGATAACTGTTTTTAGAGATCTTTTTTTTTTAAAATTTATTTATTTATCTTTAGAGGGGAAGGGAAGGAGAAAGGGAGAGAAACATCAATGTATGGTTGCCCTTTGCGCATCCCCTGCTGGGAACTGGCCTGCAGGGAACCGGCCTGCAACCCAGGCATGTGCCCTGACTGGGAATCGAACCGCGATTGTCAGGTTCGCAGGCCCGAGCTCAATCCACTGAGCTACACCAGCCAGGGCCCTAGAGATCTTTAATGTAAAAGTAATCTTGTATTGCCTCTAGGAACATGGAAATTAGGAATGAAAAAGTGAATCTAGGTTATATGAACAACTAGCTTTTAAAAAATAACAGTTAGCCTTTAATAATCTTAGTGAGGGTGTTTGTGGCTTTGGAAAAATATTACGGCACCAAGATCCATGACAGTAATTTCTCTGGTTCCACATCTTCAGAGTAACACTTGGAATGATAGCATTGTCTCTTTGTAGCATTTCATAAAACACAAGCTATTGCCAATTTGTTAGGATTCTAGTCAAGCTGAAATAAATCAACACAGCTTGGAAGGGCTTTATGAGAAGCATCTGGGTCGACTCCTTGGCTCTGTCCATTTCTAGATTTCTGGTTTTGTATCTTTTGAAACAGCACACTTGTTTGCTAACTGACATTGAGCTTTATTTCCTCCGTTTGCAAAGCCCTTGCATAGACTGAGCACAGATTTCCGAGCATTCTTCCTTCTCTTAGAGAAGGGCTAATGATTTGTATCTCTCAACCAAGACATGTACAATGTTTTGTGTTTGAGGCAACATTTATAAAAATTTTGCGTGTGGCCATGCTTATT